ATTACTGTCAACCACATAAATATTATCTTTTTTTGCCTTTTTGTTTTGTTTGATTTGTTCACCGATTAACGTAATAATATTATTGTCTATTATTGTAATATTACTATATAAACACAATAATATTACTGTGGTTGACAGTAATATTACTGTCGTTACAGTAATATTACTGTGAATGACAGTAATATTACTGTCAACCACATCAATATTAATTCTTTTGGCTTTTTATTATGTTTGCCTTTGGTGAACGTTCAACATATTAATAGTATATTACACAATAATAGTAATTTTTGTTGTGTTAATATTACTGTGCTAGAGATTAATATAACAATATTACTGTGTTAAACTGTAGTGAAGTTATTATTATTGTGTTAAACAGTAATATAATAATACTGTGTTAAACAGTAATATATAGGTAATATGACAGTCAACCAAAGCAATAGTATTGTTTAACACAAAAGCATGAGAAAAAAAAAGTCAAGGTCGAAAATCGGCGGTCAACGGCAGCGACGGGCGAAATTGTAGTTAAAATTGAGTTTTTGATCAAAATTGAATAATTTGTGAAATTGAGGTTAAATTGAATTAAATGGTGAAATTGGAGCATATTAAAATGTGAAGGGGTATTTTAGTCTTTTACACACATGTGGATAATGTATGGATTTTTTTGTAAAAAACTTTTGGTCCGGACCCCTTTATGGTGGTGTTTGCAAATGATTTTCCATAGTGATTATGAATTTTTTTTGGTTCAAAATAAGTTTTTTATAAACATTAAAAAATTCATAATCATTTTGGAAAAGCGTTTGCAAACACCACCTATAAATAAGTACGAAGTATCCCATAATAGGCTTATTTGTAATGTGTCCGTTTATCTGATAAAAGAATGCTTATTACTTATTAAGTATTTAACCTTCGTCCTTCTAATTGAAGTGTGACTAAGTTTATCTTAAGCGACGACACGATAAACTAAGAAGAACTCAATTTGACATCATTTAAATCTTCAAAATGTGTTTTCTTTATTTCAAATATTTTTTAAAGTTTAAATTTGTAATAAATTTTAGCTATGTAGTGCGGAAACTTCAACTTCTTTATGGGCTATTTTGCAAATTTCTAAAAAGTTAGAAATATGTTTGAAATTTGAATAGTAAATTTTTAAATACTTTGTTGCATCCATAATTATTTACACGATTTAATGATCAATTGCAAATTGACAGTTGATAGTAAAATTTATTTTGATTATGTTTATATGAAAATATATAAAACGAGTTTCTGCATAAATTAAAACTTATATATGTTTATATAGCATCTTTATATATAAAAATAAGAAACACTAGGGCAACCTACGAAACGCTGATGTCATATTTGCAAATAAAAATAAAAATTACATCTCTTATTCTTATTTTGGTAATTTAAATTTCACAAATAATTATTTTAATATAGTCTAATTTTTTTCTTAGTAAAATTTAATTATCACATATTTAATTTTTTTTCTTCTTGCAATGCTAGATGCAGGGGAAGAATTGCTAGTATTTAAAAAAGGACTTTACAATTAATGCAACAAGATGGAATAATGTATACAAGTTTAGAACATAGTATTCTCATAATAAAAAATAAAAAAAAAGTATAGAACCATAATTACTCTTATGGTTATCTGATTAAATCATCTTATGCAATCAAATAAGAAATCTCAAATCTCGAAAACCATATAATACTCCTAGAAAAAAAAATATCTGGATGAAATATTCACTAAAAAAATTACTAAATACAAAAGAAAACTTCGTGATTCATGAAAAACATAAAATATTAAAAGAATATTGATATATATATTATATATACATATATCCTAATCATCGTAATCATCGGTGGTGCAGAAACAAGCAACGATGCTAACGGAGACAAGCATAGGCAGAACCCGACGGCCCTTATTGTATGCGGCGTTGGCCATCTCATTCGCGCAGTTGGATATTTTCTCGACCATAGATTCTTGCTTGTGCGTCGGCACTCCAGCTGTCGACAGCATGTCCGAGATAACATCATCCGACAAGTTGCCTTCTTCTATTCTCCGACATGGCGCCCAAAAATTCAAGAAACCAGTGTTTTCAATTCTTGCAAATTCTTCTTGTTGTTGTTCGTGTTCGGTGGGGAAAACCGTATCAACTTTAACTAGTATGAAGAACTCGTCGATTGTGGAAATTCTTTCCGGGATTTCGAGCTTTTCGTACTGCGTGGCTTCGCATAGGTCATCGACAGGTACCGAACAATCCATCGCGAGAAATTATTCAGATTTGAAGAAAAAGAAATAAGAAATTTGTGAGAGGGGGATTGGTTATTTATAAACGTTGTTGGTTTCTATCTTACGTTGGTTGGACTTTGTTTTCCTTGTTTGGTTAGGATTCTCCCATAATTGTAATTTCTTTCCTTTTTTTAATATATATTACTTTAGGGTTTAGGTTTGTAAAAGGAATTCTATTTGCCAAGACTTTTTATATTCACGGAAGGAAAGGGTTGATTGAAACCAGCGTACCCTACCCCATTTAAACTAATTTGCAAATAAGGAAAAACAATTTATATATACTAAAATTACTCCCAACTCCTTGAAACTCTAATTCAATTCCAATTTTATTATTTACACCCTAATTTATCTTAATTTCACTAATTACTCAATTTTGACTATTATTCTAATTTTGACCGCCACCGCCGGAGACCGCCAGTCAGCCGCCGGTCTCTGTTGTTGACAGTTTTTTTCTTAAAAAAATATTTTCATTAATATTATTATCTTGGCCTGCAATATTACTGCATCGGAGACAGTAATTTAACTGTCTGAGACAGTGTTTTTACTGTATTAATTAATTTTATCGTCTTAGCGTGCAATATTGTTGTATTTGTTGATTTTAAATGCCTATAGAAATCTACTCATCTGTTGAGACAGATTACGTGTTACGACATTAGGTGTGGTAACATAATTCTTGTGTTGTCACAGTAATAAATCTACTAAAAGCAGAATAAATAACACAAGAATTTAATGTGGTTCGGATAAAAATGTACCCTACATCCACGAGGACTTGCAAAACTAGTTCAGATTTAAGTGTACATTAATAGGACTTAATAAAACACTAAAGACTCCCTCTTTATGTGATACGCCGTTCTTGCACACGACTCGAACTTGTTGATAATCAAAGCAATTCCTCCTCCGCACTCTTGGACTTCCTCCAATGTTGAACTTCCTTCAAACGGCGGATCGACCTCTCCCGAGATCTTTTAAGCACTTCTCCCGAAACGCCGATCTTCTTTATGGCCTGGTAGAAGAAACCTGTTCTGTTGCCACACATGTCGTGCAGACAGGGCTGCAGCACGGGCTGCACCCTTCAAAGCCTTTATGCTGGGATTTTTCTTATTAAAGCTCCATGGGACTCATATGAGGTTGAGGGCCTTATATAGGCACGAAATCAACCACCCTAAACCAAACTTGGGCCCTAAGAAATCGATTAACTAGGTAATAGAATCCTAGTCGATTTCTACTTCTATTCTAGATAAGTACAAAAGATACCTAACTAGAATATAATACATGGAAATAAATCTAAGTCCTAATAACAATATTACAAAAATAGGACTCTAATTAATTCCAAAATAAACATGGAAAATAAATCTTTGCCAATCTTTAATTTCCACGTATGGCGGATTTCTTCAATCTTCACAAACAGAAATCTGGTGCCAACAGTATTCGACCTTGATATTATAGTCTCAGACCATAATATTGTTGTGATGCAGTAATATCACTGTTTGAGACAGTAATATTAGTAATATTATTGTTTTAATATTACTATCTCAGACAATAATTTTGTTGTTCACTCACTAATTTACAGAGAAAAAAACAAGTTTCAGGAAAAAAAAAATTCAAAAAAAAAAAGAAGCCAACGCCGGAGAACCTGGCGATCAACGCGGAATATGACCGGAAAAAAAATAGAAAAAATTCCAAAAAAATATTAAAATGGGGTTAATATGATATATTTGTTCAAATCCGGGGTCAATGTGCAGTATTAATAAAGTTCGAGTATAATTGATGGAATTGATGAAAATTATATTATCAGAGGTATTTTAGATAAAAGACATAATATGGATTTATTTGCGAGACTATTTTTCTGAACCTTGTATGAATTTAAGTGCCTTGTCATGGACCTATTTACCATTTGCATTAATAATAAATAAATGAGTAAATAGCACTTAAACTCCTATGTGGTTACACGTTTTTGCTTTTAATATCATCACATAATCCCTCGTGGTTGATGAGATAACTTCGTTTAGTTTTTTCGTCAAACTTAACCGTCAGTGTCAAACGTCAAAGTAATTTTTTTGCAGCCCCCTTGTTCTTTCATTTTACAAATGACCCCCTTGAGTTTCGCACATGCAGTTAAATTTAACGAAAAAATTAACGGAAACTACCCTCATAAACTACAAGGGGGTTGTGCTCATGTTACGAGTAAAAGAGGTCATCTACAAAAGCTTATAGCCACAACCGGTTAAGTACTATTTACCTTAAATAAATAATATTTTTTTATTAGAAAAATAATTTTAATCGAAAGACAACACCCAATTTCAAATCTTATGCTTCTTCAATTTTAAACCCTATTCTCCCAAACCCCTTCCCAATTTTAACGCAAACTTTTCCAAATCATTTTCTTGATTTATTTTTTTTATCTCGTGTTATGTTAGAAAATTATGTGCACTTCACTTGGTTAAATATTTGCATCAATATCCTACGCGCAATTAGGTAAAATTTGTTACCATACCGTACTGAATTTCTGCTCAGTACACCGAGATATTTTGTAGAGCACTGGTAATGAATTTTAAAATACCAAAATTCGACATACCGAAATATTTGGTAGGACAGTCGTACCAATATAAAATCTACGTTAACTATTTGTACAAACACATTACTCCAAAAATAAACTAGATTAATTAATAAACTATATAGTAAGATGTTAGAGAAGCTTGATTAATTAATTACTCTAATTATTATGATTTTTTTGAGAGGGAAGATTTTCTAAAATTTCCAAAATATAAGTCATAGGAGGGCGATATTTAGGCTCATGATTAACACAACGGAGTGCAATATTAGCAGCAACATAAGCACTTCTTTTACAATATTGCCCCTCTAATTTTGTGTCCATTATCCTGAAAACCCTGCCGTTGTCGAGTACGTGTAGCCTCACCCAATTCACCAATATTTTCTCCTCTTCGCACTTCGTTTCGTCTATCGCTCGTCGCCCCGTAAGCAGCTCCAGTAACACCACTCCGAAGCTGTATACGTCGCACTTTACCGTTAATTTACCTATTAAGAGGAAAAACATAGACTTGTTTTAACTTATTCAGATAATATTAACGGTTTCAGTAGTTATGTGTTACATTCGGTGAAATATATTTTTTATGCCAAAATTGCATAATTTATCCTAAATTCCGTGTATTTTCAATCCTCACCATTTCACCGGGTTATTGGTAGACTCGGCTTATTTGAAGAGGAAATATTATATGTTCTATTAGTTTTATGTTTAAGCACGCGATCGGAGAAAAATAAACTAAAATTTATATTATTTCAATTAAAATTCATAATTATTTACTTGTTTTAGTTAAAATTGTGGAAGTAAAATAAAATAAACTAAATTGAAAACAAAAATTAAAAGTATGGGAAAATGTTTAATCTAAAAAATTGAAATGAGTGAGTTTGTAAATTAATAATGTTAGTAAAAGATTTTTTTTTGTTGTAAAATAAAGAAGAAAAAGAATGTATGTAAGGATAACGAAATGGGTAAATTACTCCTCACTGCACTAAAGGTTTAGTGTAATTACAGCTAGAACCTTATTTGGTGTGAAAAAGTACGCATACCTCATTGAGGTTTGATATTAGCTAACACTGAACCTACTACATTTGTACTATATTATTTGTCTCTTTGAAAAGTTTTTTTTTTTTTTTTTTTGTCACAGATTATTTGTCGTTTTACAATTCCAACGAAACATTAATTGCACTTTCAATTTACCCTTTATCACTCTTAATTAATTAACTGAAAAACAATTAATCATAAGAATATTTTACCCTTTTAATGATTTTCTTAATATGTGCGCAACAATCAAAAAACAACACATAAAACGGGACGGAGGGAGTATTTCACCATTATTATTTAATATTCATTTTTACCCTTGACCAAATAGTGAGTAATTACATATAGACCCTTCATATTTTCAAAATATTACATATAACTCCCTTATAGTTTGATTTTAACTAAAAATACTGAATTTAAACTTATTATATAATTATAAAAAAATCAATGATAAAAAAGAATAATACCTGTGGTGAGATACTTTGGATCACAATAACCTTCAGTCCCCATAACTCTTGTAGTTACATGAGTTTGAGATTCAGTTGGACCAGCTTTAGCCAGTCCAAAGTCTGAAAGCTTTGCATTAAATTCCTGTCAAAACAAAAACAATAATAATAACAAGAGAAAACAATTCGATTTAGAGTGTGCTTGGCTAAGTTTATAAGCTGTTAAAAATAGCTCATAAGATGTTTAAGAGCTTATAAGTTCTTCCAAAGTGTTGGGTAATTTTTTTAAAAGAATTTAAAAATTCAAAAATTAAGTGCTGAAGAGCAAATAATTTTTTTTTAAAAGTACCTATAGCCCACCGTTTTATTTAAGATCTTATAATGAGTAAAAATAGATTATAAGATCATTAACGTAACAACTTATCAGCTCTTAAAACAACTTATCAGATGTAAGAGCTTATTAGCTGTTCAAAATAAGCTTAGCCAAACGAGACCTTATTTCCTTCATTAATAAAATTAAATGACTTACAGAATCTAACAAAATATTTGATGTCTTGAAATCGCGATAAATGACGGGCGATTTCGACTCGTGTAGGAAACATAGCCCTCGAGCTGCACCCACAGCAACCTTAATCCTTCTTGCCCATGAAAGAGATGATGGAGAACATCCTGCATGCATGCATAAAATATTTCCAGACATACATGCATGCACGTGTCATAATTATTAAAAAAATTATCTTATTATATTTCAAGTTGAATAATAAAAGAATAAAAGCTGTTATTACTTTTGAATAAGTGTTTCTCCAAGCTGCCACCTGGCATGTATTCGTAAACGAGTATTCGGTCCTCGCCGTCTAAGCAGTATCCGATGAGTTTAACCAGATTCGGATGGCGAAGTCGACCTAAATAGTTCACTTCCGACTGCAAATTAAAGAATGATCAAAACAGAAAGTATACAAGAAACCCTAAATATATAATACTTGGAGAGAGAGAGAGAGAGAGAGAGAGAGAGAGAGAGAGAGTAACTAACCAACCACTCATTGTGACCCTGTAAGCCATAAGGTATAAGCTTCTTGATAGCAACAGCCAATCCAGTACCAGGCTTTGTAGCAGTTAGCTTTTCTTCATCCAACCACCCTTTGAAAACATAGCCGAATCCACCTTCTCCGAGCGTACTATACTCGCAGAAGTTCGAAGTGGCTCTTCTCAATTGGTCTAACGAAAAAGCCTTCAAGTACGGAGACGACAGTATCTCACTCTCGGTTCTTGGAACTGGCAATATATTGTTACAAGAAGAAGACGAAGACGATGATGACGTGGACGGAGCACTCGATTTCTCGTGCTGTTTAGGGGGGGTTTCCGGTTTCGGCAATGGCAGTAAGTTTCCCTTGTAATTGTTGTTTTCGTTATGGTTTGGTTTCGGGAGAGGATGACTCCTTCGGTTGGTGTTTTCTTCGGAAGTTGAGACTGAAAAATTGCAGTTTTCATCAAGATTTTTTATTTATTGTTTTTTTTTAAATAAAAAAAATTAAGTGAACATTCAAGCGCCTATAATCATATCAAGTTCTCTAAATTACTCAAAAATACAGTACAAGAAAAAATGGCATTAGTGGCAGTCTAATTGTGACAATATCAAAAGTTGTCTCTAGATCGATATATTAAGTGACAGTTAATTTTTTTTTATTGTCACTAATAGTTCTTTTTGTTCTCACTTAATCTTTTTCTATTGTTACCATATAGAATTAGTGACACCCAGTAGTGACAACATTTTTGCCTAACCATGTGAAAATTTTTGTTGTCACTCAAAGATTATATATATAACTACACCATTCAAGATATATCTATGTTCGAAATTTAAACATAACAATAAACACAAAATGAATAGTCTCAGAAGAATAAAAAATATAAAAAAATCGACCACTTGATATAACGCGTTCTCGATTCACTCGTTTCGCTCCTACGAATCACCTCGAAACTAGTCTCATCAAGTTATGTACTTGAAATAATTCAAGTGATATGTGAAACAATTAATCAAAATAAATACATTTACGGGTGTTTGAGATCGTGTAGCTACACAACTATAATGAATGTACAAGACAATATCGAAACATATTCGAGTTCTTTAATATAATTAATGAATCGCATGTTTAATTATACGAACAAGAGAGAAATTGTATTACCTGAAGGTGGAGGTCGATTCAACGGATTTCGATTATGAACATCGCCCATTTTAACGTTGTCAAATTCAACAATATTTCTCTGATTTTGGCATTTAATTGAACTAGGAGCAATTACCTCACCATTGTCACATTCGACATACTCTTCATTTTCCCGTCGAATATATTCTTGAGAGTCATTTTTTACGCTTTCGAATTCCAAAACTACTCGTCGTTTCCTTTGCATGCAATTTCCCATACTAAGACACTAAACCTACGACGGGGAAAAGCATATTCCATAAACGGCAACGTTTTGTCGCGATTTCCACCATTTCGCCTTCTCTTTCTCCTTCGTCTCCTCGATCTGTTTGATAAAGAAAATACATTATTGCATTTGCATGAGAGAGAAAAAAACATTATGAACTAAAAATAGGAAAGATGATGATTTTATTAAGGATACCGACTTTTGTGGGCAGGACAAAACATAAAATTAATTAATTAATTAATTTATGACATGCTTTCAAATATACATTGTGCATGTTCATGTTATATATATAGCTATTATTAATCGACTCAAGACCAAGTCAAGATTTTTTTTTTTTATAAATTTTTTGAACGTACATTGACCAAGGGGTAATTAATTCATTAGTAGACTACTCTATATATTATATGAATTACAAATTATTTGTTATTCAAGATTTTAATATAGATATTACGAAAGTGCTAATAAGTAATAAATATAAATATTTTTTATGAGAAAATATACAATATTGTTAAAATATTGTAACTAATTTTATTTGTGAGAGTTAGTGTATAAGAATTAACAGAATTTAGGAGTGATAAAGAGAAGATTAGAAAAAGAAGAAAGTTAATGTAGTTTTGAAATTAAATTCATGGAATAATACTGAACACAAATATTTTTATGAAAATATTAATTAATTTTAAATAATTATATTAAAGAATACCATGACAATAATATTGAGTAACCATTGTAGCTTGGCTTGTAATTAAATTGTGGACACAAATATGTACATGCATGCAAGAAGATGGCTATGGTCAATGGTCAATGGTCAGTGGTCAATGGTCAATGTGCAATATATTATTGATGGGAATTATGAAAATGACTGACCAAAACTACAAAAAATCAGAAGCGGTATAAATAGACTTATAACTATGGTCATTGCTTATTTTAGTCAATTTAATTTAAAGTTTAAACTTTATTAGTTTTAGTTTAAAGATATTATAATTCTGGTCCTTGTTTTAAAATAGTCAATATAATTAATAATATTCAAACTTACACAAGTTGATAACTGGTACAGATAGAGGTGAAAGTCGGACGAAACGGATTAGAATTAGCCATTTCGGAAAATGTTTAATTTTTTTCGGAAGTACAAAACAATTCCAATTTCAATAACAAAATTTAATTTCGAAATCTAAATATTCTTTCAAATTCCAATATATAGTCCCAAAAATTTCATAATTTTGGAAAAGTTTTGAAAATAACACAAGTTTTGAAAATTTCAAAACTTAACGGAAATTTTCGAGAGAATTACACTTTTGGTCCCTCATGTTTGGTCCGATTCCACTTTTGGTCTCCCTTGCTCCAAAGTGAACAAAGTTCACTTCCAAGGTTCAACTTTAAACACTTTTCGTCTACCCCGTCACATGAGTGTTAGCAACTAACATAAAACACTATTTCAGGGCTAAAATTAAAATTTAATAATGTTTTGGGGTTAGAAAGAAATATAGGTGTAACTATTATTTTTATCTGCTATATATGTTGAGTTATGCATTATTCTCCGTAAAAGCATACTAAACCTTAGAAAACTTACCATAATAGTAATTGACTCTATTTTCATGAAAATTTGTGGATAAGTTCTCGCCACTCTAACTTTTTCTAATGTTACTTGAGCCCATATTTTCTGACTATGGTGAACCATTTTCAACCATACCATTATTATAGAAGAATACAACCAAAAATTGTGAAGAAAGTTGATGTTGTTTTCTAGGGTTAAAGTGATTTGGGGATCTCTTGGAAAGGGGAAGTGGGTTTAATTGGGAGAAGAAGAAACGTAAGTGTGATAGGAAGAAGTGGCGTTTTTGTAATTTACAGACCTTGTCCAAACAACGTCAAAGTCAAAATCATGAAAATTGACGGAGAGGGCTTCATTGAGACAATTCGACAAGTGTAGGAGGGTAAATCGATGTAATTGAGAATATATGAGGCGGTGAAATGATTTTATATCAAAGTACGAGGGGGAAAACTGGAATTTACCAATCGAATATTCATCTGATTTATCATAGAACGGAACGGACCGAAGCTAAGGAGACATGGGATAAATTAGTTTTTCTTATTTTTTTTAGAGCAAAAGACTTGCGGATTTCATTACTGTAAAGTATCATGAGTTTACAACTTCAAGAACAAAATTCGGTAACATCGGGGAATTAAAATTCTCTTCGGAATGAAAGTCTAGTTATTTCATGAGCTGCACATGCACGATTGCCTTCTCTCTTGTTGTGATAGACTGGAAAAGATTCAAAACTTTCTGCATCTTGAAAAGAACAAAATCAATACAAAATAAATTTGTCTTCTGTAAAATTTAAAAATTCAATTTATGGTGTATTGTGAATGACTTATTGTTCGAGGGTGTATACTGCCACAAATTATTTTCGAGGGTGTAAAGTGTCAAAATACAATATTTCAATGATGTAAAGTAGGATTAAGCATTAGTTATTCTCACATCTTCAGCCCAATTGCCCAATTCTCAAAGAGGGAGATAGATAGAAAAGGAAATAAATCACAAATCACAATTAAGGGCAGAATCAAAATCAAATAAGGAAAAATATAACTGTCAGCGCAAATATCTCAACAAAATTCTTTTATAAAAGAAAAGTACTCTTCTTCTCCGAAATCAAGATTTTATCACGTTTGAACCGTTTTCTCTCTCTAGAAACCCTAATTTTTTCATCACCTCTCGAATCAAACCCTTTAATTTGTTTCTCTCTCTACCAATGGATTGTGGCGTACCAGTTGATGATTACTGCAACGCAAGGCAAGACAATAATCTCGAAATCCCAGAAAATATTTATTCGACCGATCACTTCTTCATCGTATTCGAAGTCGATACAACTTACCCTCGTAGTTTTTATTATAATAATAATCAAGAAGAAGACGAAGATATTGAAGAAGATGAATTTGTAAGAGTTGAAAACAAAGATTCATTCTGGGTCCGATGTCCGAGAACCAAACACGAAAACTTGTCGAGGGATACTATTTCGGACATGCTATCACAGGCTGGAGTTCCTGTTCACAAGCAAGATTTCATGGTGGATGCAATATCTGACTGTGCAGATGAGATTGCCAACTCAGCATTCAACGATGGCGTTAGGGTTCTTCCGATGCTCGTCTCCGTCAGCACCGTTGCTTGTTTTTGTTATCGCGAAGAAAGAATTTAATGATTTGTCATTAGATAAGAAGTTAACTAATTATAGGAAATAAACATGCGTGTGTGTGATTTGATCTTTGATCTTGGTTTTCCTTTTATTGTTCTTTATATTATATTTTCATGTAGGTTTGTTTGTTATATATGGGGATATAATCATATAAGTCATTTTTCAAATTGTTGATTCAAATTCGTCGAACATCGGCTCATTGATCTTGTAAGTTCGAACATTAATCTATATGATTTACATTGATCGGTCGAGTTTAAGAATAGAGCTCATACTACGGTGCTATATACCAATGAGTTAACTTATTTTATTGAGTATCGAGACACTAGGAGGGGAATTGAGGAACCAGATCCTCATTTTATCGAGTAGTTTGTTTCGACAATAATAAGATTAAATGATAGTGTTTATGATTTTGCCATTTTTAACAAGTCACAAATTATATTTGAGATGCTAATATTTTGCCATTTTGCAATGTAGAATGATCAATCACATGATTCTTAACAAGAAAAAACCTCATCTTGCCCCAAAAAAGTCTATTTATTCATCCAATTGCGGAAAAAAAAAAAGAAAAAAAAGAATTAATCGTTCTTATAACTATTGATTGGTTTCGGAGCGCTAAAGATCAACCGCTCAAAATTAAGGCTCCATTTAGATGACATGATTTTTTATGAGGTATTTAAAATTCTAGTTTGTTCCGATAGATGGATTTGAATCCTCGTCTATCCTTTCTAGTTGTACATTAAGGTCCTGTTTGGTTGCCAAGATAAGTCATAATTAACTAAATAGTTGGACTTAATTTGATGTTTGGTATTCTCAATAAATTGTCGGGTTGGTCCGCCAAAATTATATAATCATGGCTTATCTTGTCTTATCTTGCCTTCTAGTGAGTTTTTTTTGTTGGACGTCGCGAACTCCAATAAAATAATTGGGTTTCATTAGATTTATTATTTAATCTTATCTTGACTAATCTTATCTTGCCAACCAAACAGTGCCTAAGGCAACTAAATAATTGGACTTTGTTTGATGTTTGGCATCCCCAATAATTTGTCGGTTCGACCCATAAATATTATGTTATCATGGTTTATATATCTTGTCTTTTATGAAGTTTTTTCGTTAGTTGGACATCCAAGAGTTCGATAAAATAATTAAGTTTTTATTAGATTATTTAATCTTATCTTGGCAACCAAACGAGACCTTTAGATATAAGACAATAAGCAGTCAAAAATTTATTTGAGATACTAATATTGGCATTAGACATGAATAATATCTCTTATTATTTTGAAATGTTTACCACACGTGAGGTTAGGGAGCAATTGAGCTTACTTAGAGATAAGTTGGAAAAATTGTATGGCGATGTAGATGCGTATTGGCGCCAGAGGAGTAAGATGCGGTGGATTAGAGACGACGATAGGACCACAAAATTCTTTCTTGTCAAAGCTATTGCGAGGAAACGGGTGAATACTGTTGAATAATAAAATTCTCCCTCCTGCTCTCAATTATACGTTTATTGTTCTTATTCCGAACTCGAGAAAATTACTAATTATCGGCCTATTAGCTCATGTAATGTTGTTTATAAAATTGGCTCCAAGGTAATTGATAATCACCTTAAAAACCGATTAGCCGCATTATTTCACCCACCCAATCAACTTTTGTTCCTGACAGTTCATCACACATAATATTTTAGTTGCGTTCGAGGCCAATCATTTTACTAAAACTAATTATAGCAGAGCCTCGAAATTTATGGCTACAAAAATAAAACATAATTTAAAACTATATTTGTTTTGCTCAAATAAAATCTTCGATTGAGGAAAGAAAGAAGGTATCTAAATTTAAGGGTGTATTCTATAGAAATGAAACAATAGAAAATGTTTTTATTCTTATTTAATTAATTCATCATTATTTGTGTGTGTGTGTGTCCAATATATATATATACACACGCGGTACATTTACTACTCATAATATAGAATATTATATACGATAAATGTACATAAAAACAAATAAAATCAAATTTACAATTAAACTAAATATTATCTAAATTAAATCAAATATTTGGGGAATATCTTGGAAATTATGTCTAACATATTCCACTTTTCAAATTAAATTAACTTAAAATTCAAAATATGTTGACTTTTCCCATGTATAAAAGTGACAAACCAATTAGAAATATATTATAAATACTCCTTCAATTGTAAAGCTAAGCTAATATATTACTTCCATAGTTTCTCTCTAATAATGGCTCAGGTGATTTCCCTAGGAAGCGGTAAAACAAAAATTGTTTTTTTTTTTTTTTTTTTACTTCAGTACCATCAACATAAAAAATAGAAAAATAAATAGGTAATGACATTATTACCCTCAATGAAAATCAATACCGCACACAAAATTTGTGTGTTATTAATTTTATTAAGGGTATTAATGTCATTAACTATTTATTTTCTATTTTTTATTTATTTTCTATTTATTTCTTTTAGCCGTCCCCGATTTCCCTATGTTATATGTCACCCATCTCTCTCTCTCTCACACACGCACACACACACAAGCAATAACAAGAATTATACATGTTAAACCTCCATAAATTAATACAGTCAACACTAGTAAAATTCTATTAATTTAGCGAAATGTTAAATTATCGATCACTAATAATATAGTAGATTTTTACGAAGTCGTGACCAGAATAAACCATTGTTTAAGCGAGATTATTAATTTATCGATGTTCTACTGGTATTACCAGAAGGTGGTGATGAAGGTGTTGACGATGACAGATGAGAAGACAAGGAAGAAAGCAATGGAAGCAGCTGCTGAAGTTTTAGGTATACCTTAAAAACTTAGGCCCTAGATTTTCATATGCATTATCAGTTATATATATTATCATAATCCAACAATTTGAATTAATTTATATATACAAAAAAAAAAAAAAAAAAAAAAAAAACAGGGGTGGATTCGATTGCAGTAGATTTGAAAGATCAAAAGATGACAGTGATTGGAAAAATGAATACGGATGATGTGGTGAAGAAAGTGCGGCAAGAAGTTGGGAATGTTGAAGTGTTGTCAACTGGCCCAGCTGCAACTTAAAGCAAAATTTTAAATAATTAATTATCATTAAATTCAAAATACTATATATTCTTTTTTTTTTTACTTATCTAATTTCTTTAGTGAATATTATAATTAATTAATGAAGATTTCTTGAAAGTGTGCGTCTTCTTTATACAAATCCTCCATTCATTCAATTTCTTGTTTTTTTATACATTGCGTTAGTATATATATATATATATATCTTTTTAAATATTTAAAAAAGACGATATACATAAACATGTTATATAAACATACAATTGTAAAAATACAATAGACTAGTACTTCACTCATACGGTGCACATGAAAAATTACAAAAATGAAAATATATTTTAGATAAAATTATGGAACAAAATTTTCAATATTTGATAAAGTAACATAATATGATATAGTGAAAAAAAAACTCAATCAGTTTGATTTGAGTACCGAATAGTGGTTAAGTTCTCCCCTTAACGACAAAAAAAATGAAGGAATTAATTGATAAAAATAAATATAAAATATAAAAATTGTAACATGAATGTTAAGATAAATCATCTGACCCCGAATGGCAACGTACTCCTCCATTCTTTAATGTGATATAATAAATATTCTTCAATTCGAAAAGTAATTTTGGAATTTTGAATTTACTATTGCGAAAAATACAGTTTTCATCTCTCAAGTTTCTGTTAATTTCATATTTGGGCCCCCGTATTTAAAAAAGATACATTTGGCCTCTCATATTTAAAAAAAATCAACAATTCTAGTCATTTTCGTTAATTTTTCGTTAAAAATAGTGGAATCAAACGTGTGCCCGTCAATGCCTAAACTGACAGACTGACGGTAAATTAACGAAAATGACTAAAAGTATTGAATTACTGAAATATGAGGGACCAAATGTGTTGTTTGTGAACATAAAGGATCAAATATGAAACTTATACAAACTTGAGGGGTTAAACTGTAATTTCCCCAATTAGTATTTTCTGTAGTAAATTTTGGGTCTTGCATTTTAGCCTCACCCGTCAAAGCCCAAAGTCAATAAATTTTTGGCTTAATCACATTATGCATCCTTGAAATAAAGCATTTTGACACTTTGCACCCTTAAATCACAATAATAGCATTTTGCATCATTAAAAATTAATAATAGCACTTTGCACACTCAAAACACAATAATAAATCGTTCACAATGCACCCCGAGTTGAATAATAAAGGCAATTTTATTTTTTATTGGTTTTTTTTTCCGGGATGCAAAATAAAAAATTAAATTTTTATTTTCCTCAACCTCCAACCTAATTTCGAGTGCACAGAGTATGAAAAATAAAAATCACACCGAATCATCGAAAAAAACTACATTTTCATACAAAATCAAATAAACTTTTATCACTAAATTACTTGATTGATGCATCTTTTGTTGTAATTGTTGGAAATATTAGGTAAAATATTTGGAAGATAATACGATTTTCAGATAACTTGATAATGAAATAGCTAAAGGTTTTTTTTTTTTTTTTTTTTTTTTTTTTGTGATAAAAAATATAATTTTTATATATGTTGATGGAAAATATTTTTATTTTTGCACGTTATAGTTTCAAAATTAAGGATGAATAAAAAAAATTGATTTAACCTTTGTCATCGAAAAAAATACCACTAGAAATATTAAATTACATTTATTAGCTTTAAAAATTCAATTGTGGTACATTATTCATGATTTCTTCTATTTCAAGGGTGCAAAAAATGCTATTAATTTATTTCGGCAGTGCAAAGTGCCAAAATCGTATATTTTAAGGGTGCAAAGTGGAATTAAGAATAAATGTTTTGTCTACTCTCTGCAATTAATAGTTAATACGAGGAGCAATTTGCAATAACGCAAAGTGCCCACCAGCGTGCCCTTTCTCTTCCTTCCAAATTCTCTCTTCCATCTTTTCCGACCATCAAAAATAACGGCCGGATCCACAGAAGATCCGATGACCCGACCCATACCACCCCACACTTCTCTCTCTTCGCACGCTCTCTATTTTCTCAACTCTCACCTGAGCTCCAAAGAAGACCTCGATTCCGCCCCGAATCTACTATCGGAGCTCCGAATCCAATCCGACGCCCTTGATCGGACACTTGCCGGACTCAACGAAGAGCTCCGGTCTCAATTGACCCGCCACTCTTCATTCTCGAACCGAATCGGGTCGCTATTCTCCAATATCCATGCTCAGTTGGAAGATCTCCATCACTCCTCCGCTCGCCCTCAATCAGGTTTGTCTAATTTTAGGGTTTTTTAATTGGGGATTTTGTATATATATATATGATTTTTTTAATGCTATATATATAATTTTTTGAATCGTTTGTTGTATGTATAGATGGAGGATTGGAGAGAGGGATGGGGGTTGAGTTGCAGGCGTTGGCGAAGGAAGTTGCCAGAGTAGAAACTGTGAGAAATTATGCAGGTCAGTTTGTTTTTCTTATTCTCTTTAAAAAAAAATTGATTTTTTGTTTTTTTTATTTTTATGATTTATTATTCCTTTTGATTTTCTGGAAATGGAACTTCTGAAAAAGGTTAATTGAGGGATTATAGAGAATGCAAGTTTTTTAACTGTGAGAAGGATTAGCAATGTATCTATTTTCTCGAGTTAAAATAAGCTTTGTCGATTATGGTTTGTTGAACAAACAGAACATAGAAATAATCAACTTGCGGAGTCCCGTTTTATTCTTAATGGTCATATTTACGTTGTATTTTATGAAAATATGTATTGAAAAAAATTACGGAGCTCAAATTGTGGTGTTTTAAGTGATATGGTGAATGTTGTTGTAGATGAAAATCGATACTAGTTGCGTAGTTATTTGAAGGGCACTTTTAGCATTCTGCAAGTTCAAACTTACGATACGATTTGAGATAGATGTAACTGTCGTCTTAGTATGCAAAGGCGTAAATCAACTAAAATATAACATGAAAAAATTGATTGATTTTTTATTTAATTATTAATTGCGACGTAAAGTTTTGGCTTTCGTAACCAATCTGTTGATTATTACCTCAGAGACGGCATTGAAGCTCGATACATTGGTTGGTGATGTTGAAGATGCTGTATCTTCCACTATGACCAGAACATTGAGGAAGCATCCAACCTCAAAAGATTTAGAAGTGAGTACTCTAATTTGAAGTGTACGATGTTCCAAATATTTTTCGAGTAAATTACGAATAATTTATTCGTAATTTACTGTATATCAGTCTATATGTGTGTAAAATTCAAAACTAACTGTATCTATTACAATAATTATTTTTGCTTTTGTTTCTTCTATTTCATAGGATATGCGTGCAGTTGCTCTAAAAACACTTAAATCAACAGAAGACGTACTTAGTTCGGTTAGAAAGAAGTATCCTCAATGGGCTCGACTCATTTCAGCTGTTGACCACAGAATTGACCGAGCATTAGCAATTCTAAGACCGCAAGCTATTGCCGATCACCGCACCCTTCTTACGTCTCTTGGGTGGCCCCCACCTCTCTCGACTTTAAGTTCATCAAATCCAGACATGAAAGGGTCAGCCCCCGTACAAAACCCTCTCTTCACAATGCAAGGAGACTTCAAACTCCAGTACTGCGAAAGTTTTCTTGCATTATGCGGTCTCCAAGAATTACAGAGAAAAAGAAAAACCCGCCAACTCGAGGGTCAGTATAAGGATGTTTTTCTTCATCAACCGCTTTGGGTTATCGAAGAGCTTGTGAACCCTATATCAATTGCATCTCAGCGTCATTTCTCGAAGTGGATTGAAAAGCCAGAGTACATTTTCGCCCTAGTGTATAAGATCACCCGAGACTACGTTGACTCGATGGACGATTTATTACAGCCACTCGTGGATGAAGCAATGCTGTCTGGTTACAGCTGCAGAGAGGAATGGATATCGGCAATGGTGTCTTCACTGTCGACTTACCTAGCGAAAGAAATATTCCCGATATATATAAATCAGCTCGAAGAAGAAGGGAGTGATAATGCAATCCAGGCACAGGCTAGGATATCCTGGCTAAATCTGATAGATTTGATGATTGCGTTTGATAAGCGAGTTCAGTCTCTTGCAGCACATTCAGGTGTGACTCTTTCCCTCCAAGAAGATGGGAACATGCAGAAGATGTCTTCATTCGCTGTGTTTTGCGATCGGCCCGATTGGCTTGACTTGTGGTCTGAAATTGAGCTCAACGACGCACTTTATAAATTAAATGCTCAGATTGAAGACGATCGGAATTGGATAATTGCGGGCCAGAAAGATTCGGTTTTTTCTGGTCAGGAAGAGAACAAATCTCCTACGATATCAAGTGCTGTTCTTAAGCGTCTCTCTTCTGTTATTGATCGATGTCGATCGGTCCCCAGCATATCTTTGAGGTCGAAGTTCGTCAAGTCGACAGGTGGACCAATCATACACAAGTTTTTAGGGTCTTTGAGGCAAAGGTGTCAAGAAGCTGAGGGGCTCACTGCACTTACAGACGATAGTGCCCTAACTAAAGTTGCCAACTCCATTAACGGTGCTCACTGCTTCGAAACTGCTTTGGTGGAGTTTTGCGAGGACGTCTTCTTTCTCGAGATGGGATTGGACCAGTCTGGTAATTTGGTGACAGACGGTGATTTTAGTGCTGTGAGCAACGGTGTTTTTCACGAGGAATTAAAAAATTTCGAGGAGTTCAGAACTGAATGGGTTGAGAAGCTGTCGACTGTCGTGTTAAGAGGTTTCGATTCTCTTTGCAGAGGTTATATCAAGAACAAGAAACAATGGCAGGAAAAGAGTGAAGAAGCGTTAACACTGTCGCCATCTTTCATAGAAGCAATGGATTATTTGCAGGGGAAATTGTCGGTACTGGAAAAGGGGTTGAACAAAGTCGATTTTACGAGGGTGTGGAGAAGTTTGGCCTTCGGGGTGGATAAATTTATTTTCTCTAATATATTTATGGCGAATCTGAAGTTTCACGATGGTGGAGTCGAGAGGCTTTGTAATGACCTGACGGTTCTTTTTGCGGTATTTGGAGCTTGGTGTTTGAGACCCGAAGGTTTCTTTCCGAAAGTCAACGACGGTTTGAAGCTGTTGAGAAATGCGAAGAAACAGTTGAAGAATACGTTGATTGCCGACGAAAGATGGTTGAGAGACAATGGGATTAGACATTTAAGCGCTTCTGAGGTAGAAAAGATTATGAAGAACAGAGTATTCACCACTTGAATGTTTTTCAATCTCTCTTCTCTCTCGATCGCTCCTTCTCTCTCTCTCTATATATATATATATATGCGTGACGAAGAAGCCGGAGGGCTCTCTTTTCAACTAACTTTTCACTGTAGTTAAATGTTTTTTTTTTTCTACATTGTAGAACGTTTTGCAGTTGTGCACATGTTAATGTTTTGTCTATTGTATTGCAGAGGATAGAAATTAAATTGGAATATGAGATATTCAATTTAGTTTACATTTGGGTCTGCATAAATTAATTTAAGCACCAATTTACAGTGAAAGATTCCATAGAATTGAGTGTGTTTATGAACTATTCTACATTCTTGAAAAATGATGCCCAAAAATAAAAACATTATCGCAGTTGACTGACGGTCAACGACAAAAAATGGTCAATTGGTGAAATTGGGGTTAAAATTGATGAATG